CCGGGAAGGAGGCCGACGGGCTGATCTGTACCGCCGGGGAATTAAACAGGTACCTCCAGTTCACGTTATTAGCGCCAGTTCCTGAGCACCGGAATGTCGGGCGCCCTCGGAAACGCCCGGTTTGCTCACGCCGCCGAGTGCAGCAGCCTTTGGCCCGGCGGTAACAGCTTCCCCCTCCACCTCCCTCTGCCGACACCCGCTCACAAAGCCGCAGCCCCACCGGCTGTCATTCCAAACATGCCTACCGAGTAAACCTGGAAACAAACTTGTTAAGATCCAGCTAAATACCAAACCACTGTCGACCACGTTCTGGTTTTCTGTTAAGTGTTCCTCTGCAGGCTAGTTCACAAATGAGCTATAAATACATGAATTCCACAACCACGCCACAACATGAATGGTTTTTGCATAGTTTTTCTTTATTACGTAATTCTTCCTTTCCCCTCCAGAGTATGACTTCTGAGGACAAATGCTTCTCAACACTTGTGGACTAAGGGAACTCCTGGACAAGTATTACTCATGTAATTAAATCATCTTCCAAAAGGTCACATTGAAAATTAAGCTAGCACAGAGGAATTGCAGTTGTCCTTCTTCATAGCTTTACATATTCTCCCAAGGTAAAAACCATAACCCTATTCTTTCAACGAGTGAGATAAGATGATGAATCAAAAAAAAAAAAAAAAAAAAAAAGTTTCCCATTTCATCTGCAGCCTTTATTTCCATGTAGTTTCTTCACCAGGCTTCAACTCTCTGTGTGGAAAGAAAAATACACAGGAGAGACTAAAATTAGGATAATTTTTCTAGAACATTTACTAATAAATGTAATTATTCTATAATACCTTAATTTTGAGAGTGATGTATAAATTTAACTTTCCTTGCAACTGTTGTCAGTTAAAAATTGTTCAGTACTGATACACTTCGTCTTTTGTTTCTAAAGCTTCAAGGTATTGAGTCGTCTTAACTCCCATTCATTTAAATGGAAGCTTGACACTGCTGACCTCTAAGGAGTTAACACACTTTCTACATAATGAAATCCAAAAGGAAAAAATCTGCTTCTTTTAAATGCAAAAATTCATTACTTTAGTGGGAAGAGAACTAGAGTGTGAAAGAAAAGGGGATTTTTGCCAGAAGCTGAAATACCAGCCCCACTTCACCAGCAACTGCAGTAAGAAAAGTGCCACGGGGTAGACTTTGTCATAAACTTACTTCCTTAACTAATTTAGGTGAGACCAGAGTTTAAAAAAAAAAAAAATCCACCTGCAAACTGATAAAAATGTTTTTCGCTCATGCTACGCAGCGTGATTTTTTTCCTATTGTTCCGTTAACTCTCCAGTCTAATACAGAATTAGAAGTGATAGAGCTGAGGCAATGCATTAAATTATCTCAATTCTTCCCCAGAGGTCAGCCAGTAAGCCCAAACTAATCAGTGTCTATAACCACATCTTTCAGTGAAGATACAGCAGCTGCCAACATAAATGTGTTATTATTTTCAAATGACACAGATTTATAAAAGTACTAGTGATCCTTTTTTCAGGACTAAGATGGCTCCTAAAGCTCAGTTTTCAGTGGGCATTAGTAATCTAAACCCCTTCATGAATGCTTGCTGAAACTTTTAGGGCTTTCTTCCCTTTAACATTTTGACACTGATGGGTTTTTTCATATGTAAGACTCTCAAAAAGAGCAGACAAGCACTTTGCAAAATAACATAAAGCAGACCTTCTATATAATAAGCTCTTGTTTCTGAAGGCACTTAGTTTTTCATCATTCATTCTGTCCAAATAGCATCCAACCACAAATCCTAAGGGAACAAGGATGTGAACCCAGTGATCACGCAGAGCTTGGGCGAAATTCACCATGGCTGCTAGAGAAAAAAGCATAACAGAGGAGGGTTACTAATAATACCAATAATACTGTTGCATATCTGGCATCTTTAATCTCACTTACTAGGGTCCTACAATAGCAGAATAAAACTCGAGGGCCATCGAACACTTCCTACAAGACACATGCTGTTGTCAAATCCCCAGAGTTTTCTTGGAAATAATCCTAACTCATGGCCCTGGGGAATAGAGTTTTATCCTAAAATGTGAGAAACAGAACACGTCTTTTAAGATATCCCTGGTGAAATAATTCTATTTATATGTTCCAGAATAATTTACCCATTAACGTAACTCTAACAAATGCATTTACTACCTAAAATCCTGTAGACAGACACTTTATTACCTGTAACAAGACTGAAGTTAAGCTGTACGTTCAGTGGGGAATTGACAGCTAAGGAAGAAAGAGCATTTCTAAAACACAGCGAACTTTTACAACCTAAGCAAAGACAAAATTAAGGCCTTGTTGCAAGTTCTAAGATACACCACGGAAGTCACAGCTGCGAGCTCAGAGCTACATACTAGTTACAGAAAACGGACAGAACCGACGCCGTTGCCCGCACACCCCAAACCGCAGGCGGCCTCCATGGCGGCCGGGCCCGGCGCTCACGGTAGTGACCCAGGAGAGGGCCCTGCCAACCTCCCGGCTCCGCTGCCCCCAGCCTGCCTGGGGACCCCAC